AAGTGCTTGATAAAATTTTAAAAAAAGTTTCTGCAATATTATTGTTTCTGACCTGGCAACTCGGTTTCCGTCACCGTCGTAATATAGCTTCCCCGCGCTTGTGTCTATAAATATTTCCACAGTAATTGTTTATTACGAAATTTCCCCTATGGTAGAGGTATACAACTATACAGCCGGCAATGTCTTATCATTTTACAATTTAAATGTAACCGTAAGTTCTATGCTTACAGTTTTTTCTTCTCACATTTCTAGCTTGTGGAAATTTCGTCCGGCATCTTGCTTTTTAGTCAAGATTGATCGTCAAAGATTTAAATGCAATGTCAATTGTTATCTTCTGTCTTCTTAATTCCTGTTCTTATATTGTTCTCACTCATTAATGATGTTTGGCTTTTTTCTTATATTCTTTCACGCTCGGTAATGCCTTGCGTCTTAGTGACTCTGTTGCCTTGTTTGGGGTGGAATGATAAAAGAAAGGTCACATATTTATTCCCCCTCTCTTTACCGTAACTTTTTTTTTTATTTCATCCTTCTTCTGTGTTTTTTACAGTGAGTCAGCATGTATTTGCCGACTGCCAGACACATGTTTGGAATTCCCGTTACACAAGGTAAAATTTTATTTACTATTAACGCTTTTGCTCGTTCAAACAGCTCACTTAATGAGAAGAAAAGCTAAACAGTAGACAAAAATAATAATAAAAAAAACAAAATGGCTGCGATATAGGTTTGTTTTTACTACTCAAACCGTATTAAATACACGTTTTCGTTTCTTAGTCTATACTTCACTCGAACGATATGTTGCTTCACGTGCTGTCTTGTCAGAGGAATAATTCTATGTAGGATTTTTAGGAAGCAAAATTTATGAAGACATTTCATTTGTTTGGGAAAGATCCACTCACCATTCCCAAGAGCCTTCCTCATGGGTGCCACATCGCAAGATAATCGCTGTTTGCATTGAACCTGCTCAGATAAATCTCCATTATTTTTATAGCTATACAAATTCTGATGTTGTATCTGCTAAAAGAAACAGATTTAGAATTAAAGAAACGACTCTGAAAACAGAGAAACTAAACAAAACAAAAAAAAAAGAAAAAAAAACATTAATTAAATAGAAAAAGTTACGAGAATAAATCAACATTCTTTAAAGATTTATGAAATTTCGGTATTGCCATCATTGTTCAAACTTCTGATATATTGTCAATACTTTTATGCTATAAATATAACATATAGTGAAACTACAATTTCAAAAAAGAGAAAAAGAAAGAAAAGTTAAAGAAACAAATGAAAAAAAAATAACGTAAATGAAAATAACCTCGTTATTCTAGACGTAAGAAAATACGCTCAAACGCAAGCATACATACACTATAAATCTTACCCAATGAAAAAATGCATTTAAAAAATTAAGAAATATAAGCTGTCAATTACTGATCCGCTGAATAAGGGACGGAGTGATTCGAGTCGTATTAAGTACACGTTTTCGTTTCTTAGTCTATACTTCACTCAAACGATATGTTGCCTCATGTGCTGTCTTGCCAGAGGATTAATTCTATGTAGGATTTTTAGGAAGCGAAATTTTTGAAGACATTTCTATTGTTTGGGAAAGTTCCACTCACCACTCCCAAGAGCCTGAAGGATTCGCAAAGTATCTGTCTACGAACATTGGTGTCGTGATGCTGATAGTAATATAAATCAGTTAAGCGAAAAAAACTTTTAATTGTATTAGTTCTACATCCATATAAAAACACATATATACACACACAACCATATATATATATATATGTATATATATATATATATATATATATATATATATATATATATTTATATGCATATATATATATGTGTGTGTGAAAAGTGTATATAAATATAAATAAATATATATATGTATAATCATTTATATATTATATGCGCGGTACTTATTAGAAAAAACGCTCAATATCAGAGATAGAGTTAACATATTTGGTTGGATAGATGAGTTTGTGACCCTGGGTTTCACGCTTTAGCGATCGTCAGCCAAAGCGTGAAACCCAGGGTAACAAACTCACATCTATCCAACTAAAATATATATATATATATATATATATATATATATGTGAAAATATATAGAAAATAGAAAGGAGCTGGTTAGGTAAATAATCCAAAGTCCCTTAGTATTTTAGTTATTATTTTTAAAAAATAGTGCTCGATACAAAAGTATAGAAAATAGGATGGAACTGGTTAAATATAAACACCCTACACTCGCCTACCCAATTTAGACAATTCACCATAGCTGTTACCATGGGGATTTTGATTTAAATTTTAAAACAAGTAAATTTCAGATATACGTTACTCAAACAAAAATTTCGCTTGAAGATGGAACGGAGCCCATTTTACTTTCAACTCAATTTAATTTAAAGGATTATATTGAAGTTTTCGGCTCTTGTTTTGAAACATGAGACCTCTTATGTTGCGATTTGGAATCATATTTTTAAATAAATAATTATATATATATATATATATATATATATTGCGTATATTTTGGCAGTATATTTTCATTAGGGCATATCTCATTGAAAAATAGTTTTGTCTACTTATTTTCAATGGGATCCACTCATATTCACGTACAAGCTTCTTAGTATCCTTATTAAAGGAAGAGAGAAAATTATCTTGTTATTTACTCCGAGTACTTTCGACATTAACACAATGTCATCAACTGGGTGTTTTTGTCTGAGACGTTAAATTGTTGTGTTCATTATTTTTCTAAGTGAAAATTATGTTGATTTGCAAGTTAATTTTTTTCACCTCACGCTAAGGTCTTGTATTGCACGATTTAAATTTCATGATGTAAACTTCAGGGAAGTTAACCTCCCCTGATGTTTGCATCATGAAATTTAAATTGAAAATATTGAAAATAAGTAGACAAAACTTATCTAAATTATTCAATGAGTCATGTATTAATATATATATATATATATATATATATATATATATATATATATATATATATATATGTAAAGAACAGTGATATTTATAATTGAGAGTTCTTAGCTTTTATATTTACTTGTAAAAAAAATATGATTCCATCGGGACAACTCTATCTCTAGATTAATTTTTAAAATTAAATCTACAGATTCGTTCCATTAGCAAGAGCTTTTTAGAATCTAAAAATCGCTTGATAATGGAACGGAACTCTGTATTCTAGATTTGGAATTTTCAGTTTTGAAACATAGAATATTCTGTGTCTCGATGGAATCATATTTTTAAACAAATAATTATAATATAATATATATATATAGGTACAGCTCATCCACATTCGCTTCATATTCCATTTGTAAGGTGGAAGATTCACTCAGACAGCGCCTTATCCAGAACTATTATATTGTGTCTTGTATCATTAAAGAGTTTACAAACAGACAAAGGGTGCACTCGAGTGAAGGAGAAGCAACACGAGGGCAGATGAAAGAAGAGAGGTTTCTTCGAAAAGAAAATACACTACTAAAAGAAAGAGAATCGGGTGGCAGGTTAATATTTCCCGAAGCATGACTCCCCCAGGTATATCCTGTGTTCCCTATATATAGCTAATTATATATCCAATCCACATAGGCGATAGGTAGTGTGGGACATTCCATTACAACATTGTGGGAAACACACACCAAAAAAAAATCTCTTACATTATTTACATTATTCGGACAGTTATTCTAAATTTCATTGCCATATTCACAACATTTCGGCCGTTGTACGTCCCGGGCTACATCAGGTAATTGGAATTTGTAATCGAACTTTCGTCTACCAGGATAGATTGTTCTAGTTACACGTGCCATGTCTCAGTTATTTCCCTTTAACTCAACTCTCCAAATTTTGGTTCTCCCTTTCTGTGGCCTGGTATTGAACTCACAATTCTTTGTGTCTAGTCACTGGATCTAACCAACGTCATATGTTCGCTACGATCTAAAACTTTTTAAGTCTAGCGTGAATAGTTAACTCTCCTACATGTCCATATAATATACACCACTTACTCCCTCTTTGTAGGCCCTTAGTTATTCTTTATCTTGAGAGAGTCTTGCTTTGTGTTTTTGTTATAGTGGAACACACCTATTCTATAGTTAATAGACTCACCCATCTATAATAAGTAGGAGTTGTAATAGTAACGAGGAGGAGCTGAATGAGTTAGTCGATGCCGGAAGACCGTTAGTCGGATATTAAAGTATCAGCCACCACAACTAGATTACTGCGTCATTACCTATTATATCAACTTCCTAACGCTTTGTACGTCGAACGTATTTTAGGACCGACTTAGTACAAATACAAGTCTTCACTGTGAAATCACTCTACAACAGTTTTGCGCAAATAATATTTAAAAAAGTCACATTATTAGTACTCGTTTTGTCATAGTTTTTCGATTTTTAATCTAAATTTCATTCTTCTTCTTTTATTGCTGTAGTATTTTTGTTTAAGCGGTCGAAATGCGGATGAGCTCAACATTTATACAGGTATATAGTTGTACGCTAGCATTTGGTTGTGCGGTTTTTTTTTGTTTTGTTTTTCGTTTTTTACTTTAATTTTCGCATCTTGAAATATTTCCTTTAATTAAAATGATCAACTTTAACTAAAAAAAAAAAAAATAAAAAATAAAAAAATAGAAATACATTGGAAACGATAATAAATGAATTCTTTATTACGTACATTCCAAAAAGAATTTTTTTTTTCTGGAAAAGCGAGAATAAACCGAGAAAGAATGGAAGGAAAAGAAAAAAAAAAAAAAAAGAAAAAAAAAAAACTAAATGAAAGAGAATTAAACTTCTGATTACTGAAACGTTATTTTATTCAATTAGATTAAACTGCTTCCCCGTTTCACTCCCCCACAAATGTTGAAATGACAAGATAAAAAAAGAAGAAAAAGTTTAATTAAAATAAATTAAATTGGATTTAAAAAAAACCCAAAAAAACTCGCAGTAACTGTAGAATATAACGTTGGATAACTGTTAATGATAGAAAAGAAAAATGTTTTTGCCGATTCAGCTGACGGGGCCTCTTTTTTTTATAGTATGTCAGTATCCCTTCTGAAAAAGGTGACCGCAAGAAGGACTTTGGACAGGTCGATGAAAAGAGAATAAAGCTATGAAATAAAGTAGAAATAAATGAAAAAATGAGAAGAAAAGATGTAAAAGAAAGAAGAAAGAAGAAAAAGAAAGAAACACGAATAAAAGAAAGAAAAAAGAATAAAAAAGAAAAGGAAAAAAAGAATACAAAAGAAAAAGAAAGAAAGAAAAAAGAATAATGCAAAAGAAAAATAAAGAAAGGAAGAAAAAGATAAATACGAGAGAAAAAGAAAGGCAGAAAGAAAGAATAATATAAAAAGAAAGAAAGAAAGAATACAAAAAAGAAGAAAGAAAGAAGAATATAAATGAAGAAGAAAGAAAGAAGAATATGAAAAGAAAAAGAAAGAAAGAATACAAAAGAAAAAGAAAAAAAGAAAGTAAGAAGATTATAAAAGAAAGAAAGAAAGAAAGAAAGAAAGAAAGAAAAATGAATACAAAGATAAAGAAGGGAGAAAGAATAAGAAAGAAAGGAAGAAAAAAGATGAATACAAAAGAAAAATAAAAAAGGAAGAAAGAAAGAAGGATACAAAAGAAGAAGAACAGAATAAATAATAAAAAAGAGAAAGAAAGGAAGAATACAAAAGAAAAAGAAAGGAAGTAAGAAAGAAGAATGTAAAAGAAAAAAGAAAGAAAAAAGAAAGAATAAAAACGAAAAAGAAAAAAAGGAAAGAAAGAACAATATAAACGAAATAGAAAAAAAGAAGACAACAAAAGAAAAAAAGAAGAAAGGAAGAAAGAATAATACAAAAGAAAAAAAAAGAAAGAAAGGTGGAAAGAATAATGCAAAAGAAAAAAGAAAGAAAGGTAGAAACAAAGAATAATGCAAAAGAAAAAAAAAGAAGACAACAAGAAGAAAGGAAGAAATAAGAAAGAATGAAAGAAAATCTAGAAAGAAAGACCTGAAGAGAATAATAAAAAGAGAATAAAAAGCGTAGAATGAAAAATAGATACTAAAATAAAGATGGATATAAAATAGCAAAGAAAAACAAACAGTAAATTAATAGCTGTGACAAAAGAAAAGAAAATTCCGAATTTTCTATTGTATCTCTTAAAGTGAGTTCTAATTGATTAAATGTTTAGTTATATTCATTTTATTAACTGTCTTCCTTTTTAGGCTCGCTTCAAAACAAATTTGGCTTTAACTCCGCATTGTTTGAAATAACTTTCAGTTTATTCCAACGCTAGCCTAATTTTTTCACCTGTGCGAAAATAATTTAAAGCAAATAAAGAAAAAGAATTTTTTTTACATATTTAAAACTTACAATCACATCTTTTAAGTTCGTTTTATCAACGACTAAACCGGATTTCCTGCTCCTCTAGAGTTCAAAAATTGCAGTTGCAAACCATGTAGGTAAAAAAAAATAAGTCCTACGAAAGGACGGAAGATCGCAAATGAGTCAAAAAACAACTAATTAAAGGTAATGCTTCAATAAAATCACCCTGGAGAAAGCCAGAAATTCCAAATAGATACATCTTAAAGGAAACTCTACTCATATGGTCAAACGAGCTCATGCCAAGGAAAGAGAGACAAGAATGGAATGGATGGCGAATAACATTTAAGAGATGAGAAAGATAAAAAGCAAAGTTGGTACAGTGTATAGGATCTTAATCACCAACAGATACAGGCAAGCAAAATATGAATGACTCAACAAAAAGTGTGCAGAGATAGAATGAGCATCATAGCTAGGGTAGATATGCATGAAAGAGTAAAGGACGTAGCAGGACAAATGCTGCTCTTCTCGACAAATTGCATAAGGCCTAAAAAGAGAAGACTTCAATGTGTAGAATCATATTTGAACAGCAATGAATACATCGGTGAAGTCTTCCACTATGAAAGAGAGAAACATTCAATACGCAAGAACACCGAGTTAATTAAGTCTATAATAACCATACAGATTTTATTTTCCCTCAGTGAGTGGCTTTTATACACAATAAACCGAGTGTAACAGTAAAATTGTCCAAATCGTCATACAGCAGAAATGTCCAGTTGTTACATTAAGATCTGAACCGTTGTATCTTAGAAACGATTACAGATATATTACTGGAATTCACCAAGGTTTTTATACCACTATTGGACTCTATTTTGAGCAGTAGGAATGCATAATTACTCTCAAAGCTTATCAGAAGGATCATGATGAAATCGATCTTAAACGAAAAATGCCATGTTCATCATTAATTAATCATAGCTCAGATCGGGAGCTCATGAAGAATTGAAATAAAGATCATATATATAGATATTATTCCAGGGTCATTTCCTCACTTATACAAGATGATCCTCGCCTTCCTTGTAAATTTCTCTCCTTGAGTAACAAGGTGCCTCACACGTTTGACATTACGATTTCATCTTCAAGTCTTTTTTCACTGCTATTTGGACGGTAGTAATGAAACTCCTCTTTCAAGTACCAAACATCTTATCGATTGAGTTGGGTCTTTTCTAATTGATCTCTTTAGCTCTAAGTTTAAATGCTGATCCCTCTTGCTCTTGTGACCTCCTGATCCATTTTCCACGCTACTGTTTCTTAAAAAAAAACAAAAAAAAAAAAACTCATTTGCCGTTCTCTTGATGGTTCTTGAATGAACTTTAAAGATGGAAGCCAGAATATGAATGTTGGTACCATTACTGATAGCTTGAATGATCTTTTTCCTCTCACCATTGCTCAGTTGGGAAGACAGTGAGTCTGACTCAAAACAATTTTAACGGGCTTTCTTTTTAGCTGAATAACAGAAAGGATTTTTCAGTGATTCTTACGACTAATGGTGTAATTATGCTATTACACGATTTGGACAAAGTCTGTCTATATTTTGAGATGAGGTATTATGTACATTATTTACATTATTCGGACTATTGTCCTCATCTTTGTCGCCATATTTATCACAAAGTCTCGGCCGTTGTACGCTCCGGCCTTCTTCAGGTGGTTGGAATGTCGAACTGAATCCTTTATTTCGCTCACTGCGGTAGACTGTTCTAGTTCCACGTACCATGTTTGATGGATGTCAGTTATCAGTTATCTCCTGTCAAGGACACAGGGTACAGTGGATAAAGGCGTTGGTTAGATCCAGTGACAAGACCCAAAGAGTGTGAGTTCAATACTCGGTTCAGGCAGTGGAGAACTTTCAGAGGGAAAATTAACAGAAGATAACTTATAGCTGACATTCATCAGATCGAGATGCCATGTCAGGATCGATTAAATTGCAAATCCTTCTTTGGATTTTGCCAAGAACCTCGAGATGAGTAGTAGAAACGCCAGACAAGATATGGTAACAGTATTCAATGTAAAGACAATTGGGAGATTTTTAAATGTGTAAGATGGACTCTGACGAAAAAACAAACTTCTTGTGGGGAGCGAGAGGACATACCTCCCGCAAAGCGAATTTGCTTGGAGTGTCAGGTCCTATTGAAAGATCGCGGGCGGACGTGCAGGGGAAAAAATTAATAATAAAAAAAGATTAAGAATTCAAACCAGCTTGAATTTATAAAACCGGAAGTTTCGGGGGAACGAGAAGTAAGTCTCGTATGCATATGTTAGTTGCCCCCGACGCGGGCATAAATAGCGAGTCTGGGAGGAAGACGGAATAGCACATTGTTGACGTGACGGTGTACGTACGAACGAGAAAGAGAGAATAAGAGGTCACTAGAGACAACTCAGTTGGTAGACCGGAGGAGTGGACGAAAGCAAGCATTTCAATCCATTTCAGTCATCGCAAAGGACGGGCGAAATGAATTACCCACGCTTCTGGCACGACACAATGAAACAAATTTCTTTACAGAAGATGCAAGTATTGCTTTAATGTAGTTGCTCTACTTCAAGTGAGTTGAAAACGTGTAGCCAATACGGCGCAGTGAGATGATCTTCTGGTGTGGAGCATCAGACATGCTGATAGCGAGAGCATCAGACATTCTGATGGCAAAAGTGTCAGACATTCTGATAGCGAGAGCATCAGACATGCTGATGGCAAGAGCATCAGACATGCTGATGGTGATCATCAGACATTCTGATGGCAAGAGCATCAGACATGCTGATGGCGAGATCATCAGACATTCTGATGGCAAGAGCATCAGACATGCTGATGGCGAGAGCATCAGACATGCTGTTGGCAAGAGCATCAGACATTCTGATGGTGAGAGCATCAGACATGCTGATGGCAAGAGCATCAGACATGCTGATGGCGAGAGCATCAGACATGCTGATGGCAAGAGCATCAGACATTCTGATGGTGAGAGCATCAGACATGCTGATGGCAAAAGAGCATCAGACATGCTGATGGCGAGCATCAGACATGCTGATGGCGAGAGCATCAGACATGCTGATGGCAAGAGCATCAGACATGCTGATGGTGATCATCAGACATTCTGATGGCAAGAGCATCAGACATGCTGATGGCGAGAGCATCAGACATTCTGATGGCAAAAGTGTCAGACATTCTGATGGCGAGAGCATCAGACATTCTGATGGCAAAAGTGTCAGACATTCTGATGGCGAGAGCATCAGACATGCTGATGGGCAAGAGCATCAGACATGCTGATGGTGATCATCAGACATTCTGATGGCAAGAGCATCAGACATGCTGATGGCGAGCATCAGACATGCTGATGGCAAGAGCATCAGACATGCTGATGGCGAGAGCATCAGACATGCTGATGGCAAGAGCATCAGACATTCTGATGGTGAGCATCAGACATGCTGATGGCAAGAGCATCAGACATGCTGATGGCGAGAGCATCAGACATGCTGATGGCAAGAGCAACAGACATGCTGATGGCGAGAGCATCAGACATGCTGATGGCGAGCATCAGACATGCTGATGGCAAGAGCATCAGACATGCTGATGGTGATCATCAGACATTCTGATGGCAAGAGCATCAGACATGCTGATGGCGAGAGCATCAGACATTCTGATGGCAAAAGTGTCAGACATTCTGATGGCGAGAGCATCAGACATTCTGATGGCAAAAGTGTCAGACATTCTGATGGCGAGAGCATCAGACATTCTGATGGCAAAAGTGTCAGACATTCTGATGGCGAGAGCATCAGACATGCTGATGGCAAGAGCATCAGACATGCTGATGGTGATCATCAGACATTCTGATGGCAAGAGCATCAGACATGCTGATGGCGAGAGCATCAGACATGCTGATGGCAAGAGCATCAGACATGCTGATGGCGAGAGCATCAGACATGCTGATGGCAAGAGCATCAGACATTCTGATGGTGAGAGCATCAGACATGCTGATGGCAAGAGCATCAGACATGCTGATGGCGAGAGCATCAGACATGCTGATGGCAAGAGCATCAGACATTCTGATGGTGAGAGCATCAGACATGCTGATGGCAAGAGCATCAGACATGCTGATGGTGAGAGCATCAGACATGCTGATGGCGAGAGCATCAGACATGCTGATGGCAAGAGCATCAGACATGCTGATGGTGATCATCAGACATTCTGATGGCAAGAGCATCAGACGTGCTGATGGCGAGAGCATCAGACATTCTGATGGCAAAAGTGTCAGACATTCTGATGGCGAGAGCATCAGACATTCTGATGGCAAAAGTGTCAGACATTCTGATAGCGAGAGCATCAGACATGCTGATGGCAAGAGCATCAGACATGCTGATGGTGATCATCAGACATTCTGATGGCAAGAGCATCAGACATGCTGATGGCGAGAGCATCAGACATGCTGATGGCAAGAGCATCAGACATGCTGATGGCGAGAGCATCAGACATGCTGATGGCAAGAGCATCAGACATTCTGATGGTGAGAGCATCAGACATGCTGATGGCAAGAGCATCAGACATGCTGATGGCGAGAGCATCAGACATGCTGATGGCAAGAGCATCAGACATTCTGATGGTGAGAGCATCAGACATGCTGATGGCAAGAGCATCAGACATGCTGATGGCGAGAGCATCAGACATGCTGATGGCGAGAGCATCAGACATGCTGATGGCAAGAGCATCAGACATGCTGATGGTGATCATCAGACATACTGATGGCAAGAGCATCAGACGTGCTGATGGCGAGAGCATCAGACATTCTGATGGCAAAAGTGTCAGACATTCTGATGGCGAGAGCATCAGACATTCTGATGGCAAAAGTGTCAGACATTCTGATAGCGAGAGCATCAGACATGCTGATGGCAAGAGAGCATCAGACATGCTGATGGTGATCATCAGACATTCTGATGGCAAGAGCATCAGACATGCTGATGGCGAGAGCATCAGACATGCTGATGGCAAAGAGCATCAGACATGCTGATGGCGAGCATCAGACATGCTGATGGCAAGAGCATCAGACATGCTGATGGCGAGAGCATCAGACATGCTGATGGCAAGAGCATCAGACATGCTGATGGTGATCATCAGACATTCTGATGGCAAGAGCATCAGACATGCTGATGGCGAGAGCATCAGACATTCTGATGGCAAAAGTGTCAGACATTCTGATGGCGAGAGCATCAGACATTCTGATGGCAAAAGTGTCAGACATTCTGATAGCGAGAGCATCAGACATGCTGATGGCAAAAGACATGTTGATCAGACATTCTGATGGCGAGAGCATCAGACATGCTGATGGCAAGAGCATCAGACATTCTGATGGTGATCATCAGACATTCTGATGGCAAGAGCATCAGACATGCTGATGGCGAGAGCATCAGACATGCTGATGGCAAGAGCATCAGACATTCTGATGGTGAGAGCATCAGACATTCTGATGGCGAGAGCATCAGACATGCTGATGGCAAGAGCATCAGACATGCTGATGGCAAGAGCATCAGACATTCTGATGGTGAGAGCATCAGACATTCTGATGGCGAGAGCATCAGACATGCTGATGGCAAGAGCATCAGACATGCTGATGGCAAGTGCATCAGAACATGCTGATGGTGAGAGCATCAGACATTCTGATGGCAAGAGCATCAGACATGCTGATGGCGAGAGCATCAGACATGCTGATGGCGAGAGCATCAGACATGCTGATGGCAAGAGCATCAGACATGCTGATGGTGAGAGCATCAGACATTCTGATGGCGAGAGCATCAGACATGCTGATGGCAAGAGCATCAGACATGCTGATGGCAAGAGCATCAGACATGCTGATGGTGAGAGCATCAGACATTCTGATGGCAAGAGCATCAGACATGCTGATGGTGAGAGCATCAGACATGCTGATGGCAAGAGCATCAGACATGCTGATGGCGAGAGCATCAGACATGCTTATGGCGAGAGCATCAGACATGCTGATGGCAAGAGCATCAGACATGCTGATGGTGATCATCAGACATTCTGATGGCAAGAGCATCAGACATGCTGATGGCGAGAGCATCAGACATTCTGATGGCAAAAGTGTCAGACATTCTGATGGCGAGAGCATCAGACATTCTGATGGCAAAAGTGTCAGACATTCTGATGGCGAGAGCATCAGACATTCTGATGGCAAAAGTGTCAGACATTCTGATGGCAGAGAGCATCAGACATGCTGATGGCAAGAGCATCAGACATGCTGATGGTGATCATCAGACATTCTGATGGCAAGAGCATCAGACATGCTGATGGCGAGAGCATCAGACATGCTGATGGCAAGAGCATCAGACATGCTGATGGCGAGAGCATCAGACATGCTGATGGCAAAAGCATCAGACATTCTGATGGTGAGAGCATCAGACATGCTTATGGCAAGAGCATCAGACATGCTGATGGCGAGAGCATCAGACATGCTGATGGCAAGAGCATCAGACATTCTGATGGTGAGAGCATCAGACATGCTGATGGCAAGAGCATCAGACATGCTGATGGCGAGAGCATCAGACATGCTGATGGCGAGAGCATCAGACATGCTGATGGCAAGAGCATCAGACATGCTGATGGTGATCATCAGACATTCTGATGGCAAGAGCATCAGACGTGCTGATGCTGATGGCGAGAGCATCAGACATTCTGATGGCAAAAGTGTCAGACATTCTGATGGCGAGAGCATCAGACATTCTGATGGCAAAAGTGTCAGACATTCTGATAGCGAGAGCAACAGACATGCTGATGGCAAGAGCATCAGACATGCTGATGGTGATCATCAGACATTCTGATGGCAAGAGCATCAGACATGCTGATGGCGAGAGCATCAGACATTCTGATGGTGAGAGCATCAGACATGCTGATGGCGAGAGCATCAGACATGCTGATGGCGAGAGCATCAGACATGCTGATGGCGAGAGCATCAGACATGCTGATGGCAAGAGCATCAGACATGCTGATGGTGATCATCAGACATTCTGATGGCAAGAGCATCAGACGTGCTGATGGCGAGAGCATCAGACATTCTGACATTCTGATGGCAAAGTGTCAGACATTCTGATGGCGAGAGCATCAGACATTCTGATGGCAAAAGTGTCAGACATTCTGATAGCGAGAGCATCAGACATGCTGATGGCAAGAGCATCAGACATGCTGATGGTGATCATCAGACATTCTGATGGCAAGAGCATCAGACATGCTGATGGCGAGAGCATCAGACATGCTGATGGCAAGACAGCATCAGACATGCTGATGGCGAGAGAGCATCAGACATGCTGATGGCAAGAGCATCAGACATTCTGATGGTGAGAGCATCAGACATGCTGATGGCAAGAGCATCAGACATGCTGATGGCGAGAGCATCAGACATGCTGATGGCAAGAGCATCAGACATGCTGATGGTGATCATCAGACATTCTGATGGCAAGAGCATCAGACATGCTGATGGCGAGAGCATCAGACATTCTGATGGCAAAAGTGTCAGACATTCTGATGGCGAGAGCATCAGACATTCTGATGGCAAAAGTGTCAGACATTCTGATAGCGAGAGCATCAGATATGCTGATGGCAAAAGTGTCAGACATTCTGATGGCGAGAGCATCAGACATGCTGATGGCAAGAGCATCAGACATTCTGATGGTGATCATCAGACATTCTGATGGCAAGAGCATCAGACATGCTGATGGCGAGAGCATCAGACATGCTGATGGCAAGAGCATCAGACATTCTGATGGTGAGAGCATCAGACATTCTGATGGCGAGAGCATCAGACATGCTGATGGCAAGAGCATCAGACATGCTGATGGCAAGAGCATCAGACATTCTGATGGTGAGAGCATCAGACATTCTGATGGCGAGAGCATCAGACATGCTGATGGCAAGAGCATCAGACATGCTGATGGCAAGTGCATCAGACATGCTGATGGTGAGAGCATCAGAC